CCCTCATGTAGCTTTGCGCGAAATTCAAAAACAAACATAAACATAAGTTGTTCGAGTTTTTTCATCTAAAAAAGGAATATTAATTTATTGATGACCTCATATTATAGCGGACAAAAGTTTGTATTCACTACTTGACAAATCATGGACTATATTCTAATATATATTTAAACCCATTGCAGTTTAATTTATATCTGTGACAGTCTGAGTTGTTTAGAAGTGCCTTAATAGGAAGTGATAGTGGGTTGGTTAACTCATTTGTGATACGAGCGGTCCCAGTCTCAAGTTCTTGGGGTGACGAAAAAATGAGCACATGTCCCTACTACTGTAGTTTAATTTATATATCTCAATTACTGCAGCCATAATCTATTTATTCTTGTAATATTAAACTGATTCAGTAATGTTAAGGCATTATGGCATTCTGAAACAAATAATAACTACGTGTTATTGGCCGCTAGATTCACGTCAAATTGGCCATAAATCTGTGAATTAATCCCAAAGTGTACAACACTCAATATATAAATACCAGAAAGGCAAAAATTTGTTTATATAATTAACTATTTGGTATGTTAGTATAATTGGTATATGTAGAAAAACTATGAAACAAAGTGTATTTAAATTATTTACATTTATTAATATTGTACACCAACTGTACTGAGAAAAATACAGTGCTTAAACCAAATAGGTAAAAAGCAGATTGAAATCATTTTCTCATATTTTTAGCAAGGCTGGAACCACATAGAAATAAACTAATAAATAGGTTAATGACAATAATGAAGGAATATGGCTAACAATTGCTTCAAAATTGTAAAATGTACACACACTGTTTACACACCGCTTAGTCCAAAATTTTATTATGACAGTTACCATTTCTCACATACACAAAAATGTAAATATTGAAAGTTCCAAGAAACCCACTTGTAGTTAAGATTTTGTATGAAAATTCGTAGATATAAGTTTGTTTGTTTGTAATTAAGCACAAAGCTACACAATGGGGTATCTGTGCTCTGCCCATCACGGATATCGAATACTGGGGGGCATAGATATAAGAACAAAGAAATAATAAACAACTGAATAACATCATTTCTTCCTTTAGAGTTAACACTTAATATTTTCATGACAGAATTGTATATTTACCAAGAAACACTGGTGAACAGCAAATATGTTTTTATACAATGATGTAACAAATTTCTACCAAAACACTGCTATAATATATTTTAATTGATTTACTTGTCATTATACATTATATTTTGTTTTTTTTAACATTGCATTCTATATTTAGCCCCTTAGGAATTTTCAAGAATTAGAAGATTGTATAATAATTCAAAACTCATCAAGCCCTTTATGTCCCAGACGTCCAGATGAGCTCAGAATTGAGCGAAATGCTTCATCGACCATGGATATGGTGTACATAGTATGATTGGAATGCTATTATTATACTCGTCTAATTTTTGAAAATTCCTAAGAGATAGATATAGAATGCAGTGTTAAAAATGTAATAGGCCCAACACTGATATCAAATGACAAATAATTTGATTGCAATAATGCTTTTCCAGCTCGGAAAAAATGTTCACACCATAACATTATAATTTTTTGTTCTCTAGTGAACAGTGTTTTCATAACCAAGTGTTTTTATTAGACAATCCAATCTTTTATTAATATTTGTTGACTTAAAAAAGTTCTTTCATAATAAGATTTAGGAAGTCTTTGAGTCCCTTTTAATTCACCATATAGTAAACTAACTGCATTTTTTTGTTTTGCTGATCCCAGCTGTGCTGATATGCCTTGAATAGGCGGAACGCAGTCCACAGCAGAGTACGGCTAATCAAGGAATGTAATAGGCCTCTACGTCACAATTTTTTTTTTCAATTTTACCTTTGGTAAAAAAGTAAAATCTGTATGATCATTTCCTCATATCTTTTCATTAGACAACATAATCCTTCACAATATGTTTGCTAATAATTTTCTACAAACCTTTACTGGCCCTATAATACGGGTTTACAGTAAGAAGAACATAATAGCTTCTTGGCTGCACATCTTGTGTGATTTGTATAAAATTAATATTCATTCTATTCTGTTCTAATGTCACATAAGCTACCAATCAAAAGATCACGTTTCGCTAGCATAAATCGTTATATATCAATGTAATTTTTCCTTAACGTTTGTTGAATATAGAGTATAAAACCTTCCTAACTCTTGTTCACTAAGTAACACAAACCTTTCCTTGCACTTGTTCATTAAGTAACACAGTCCTCTTAATAATCTGTTTGTTTGTTTGAAGTTAAGCACAAAGCTGCACAATGGGCTATCTGTGCTCTGACAAGACAATTCTTTCCTAACACTGACATTTGTTCACCAAACAATACAGCCCTTTCTTAACAATTATTCATTAGACAAGACAATTCTTTCCTAACACTGACATTTGTTCACCAAACAATACAGCCCTTTATTAACAATTGTTCACTAGACAAGACAATTCTTTCCTAACACTGACATTTGTTCACCAAACAATACAGCCCTTTCTTAACAATTATTCATTAGACATCACAATTCCTTTCATAACCCTTGTTCATTAAACAACACAGTCTATTGATTTTTCAAATTTATTATACATGACATTTGTTTACCGGACAATATAAATCTTTAAAAATTACTTCTTTATTAAACAACCATAAAAATTCAATAATAATTTATCACTAGGAATTACTTCTTATATAGTATTTGTTCACTATAGATAATACCAAACCCTTCGTAAGACTGCACTTGGAATCTTAGCTCTTTTTATATAACGTGTTCACTAAACAACACTGAAACTTTTATTACTTTGCACTGAGAATCGCAATGCTTGGTGATTATCTAATATCAGGCCTGTGGAAATAGTTACTAGTCGGCAAAAAAGAATAATTTTTGAAATTTAAATTACAACAATGTGTGCTAGCTTTGGTAGAGAATATATGTATAAGTTCAATATATTTGAAAATATGCTGTTTACTATGTAATTGTGATTGTTTTTGCCATATTTAGTATTTGCACAGCATATAATATACAAAAAAAAATCAATACAGAATAATAAAATATTCCAACATGGCAAACTTGTATCACTTGATTGTTTCCCAGAAGATATCTATCAAACGTTTGTTGTAATATGACGACCTTTACTTCCCCAAAATGGAGTCATTCAATTTTGTGTAAGATTTAGCTCTTCAGGACTATATATACACAAGTCGATTTAGGTCCAAAACTTAATCCTCCTCTCATGGAAAGTTGTTTTAAGTGCAACTAATCCCGCAAGAAAATCCTCCACGGGTAGAATTTTCCACTTCAGCTTGTTCTCGTAGGAAACTAGTCCCACTCTTACAGCCTTGAAGAAGATAACCTAATTAGTATATGTTCTCTAAACTAACGAGTATTTAAATGTTTATGGGATTTTTTAGTCGTTTTAACTAATCATACAATAACCTAAATAATTTAGGTGTTTGAATAATATCATGGCATTGCGCTTAATTCATTATTCAATATTATACAGCGACAAACTGCTCAATGACTATATTGCAGGTTTCTTTTCTTTTCACCATTCTAAAAGGCCTGACTGTATTTCTTTAGTTTGCTGCCCCAAGCTGTGCTCACGAGCCTTGAATAGGCGAAATTTCTGTCCATAGTAGATAGTAAAACGAATCAAAGAATGCATTAGGCCTCTACGTCGAAGATTATATTTTCAATTTTACTTTTTTAAATTATTATTATGTAGATGTATATTAAAGTTACTTACAACTAAGGCATTTCTGTGAAATACAGTCTTGATGGCTACTTTAATTATTGTTTGTTTTTTAATTTTGCGCAAAACTACACGAGGGCTATCTGCGCTAGCCGTCCCTAATTTAGCAGTGTAAGACTAGAGGGAAGGCAGCTAGTCATCACCACCCACCGCCAACTCTTGGGCTACTCTTTTACCAACGAATAGTGGGATTGGCGGTCACATTATAACGCCCCCACGGCTGAAAGGGCGAGCATGTTTGGTGGGACGGGGATTCGAAGCCGCAGATTGCGATTTGAGCTCCCTAACCACCTGGCCATGCTGGGCCACTACTTTAATTAAATTTAAAGAACTGCCATTTAGAGTATTTCACAAATATATAAAAGTAAGCTAGTTGCAATATTAAAACCGATCATCAGAGCGCCTTTGGAAATTTCTTCCCTCTTCAGAATATCATTCCAGGAAAGAGCGTAATTTCAGAAGGGAAGAAAACTACTTTTCAAAAACGGTCGGGTAGGTATCATTATATTTGTTAAGGTCCGTTTAATACAATTAGTTACTACTCAAGTAACACACAAGATTTTTAAATGTATATAATTACGTATATTTCAGAAAAAGTTCACTTATATCTTATAATATTGCTTATTTTTATCTGTGTTTGTGTAGAACGTTATTGGTTATTTTGTTCATCAAGATTCTAGTTTATGGCTCACTTTATTACAGTGTTGTTGATTAATAGCATGTTATATTATCAGAAAAAAAGAAATAGGCTGATTTTTTATCTTCCAGAAAGTTAGCGTTTCGGTTATACTATTTTATCAAAAGACTGTGTAACACGTCATATATTATTTTTAAATTGTTTCAGTAAAAAGCCAGAAAGAACTATAGGAAATAGACTTAGAAAAAAGAAAAATCGGAAAAGAATTTCTATGTTTCTTTTGCGCTGCTCAGTCGTTTCTATAAGTATATGGCCAGGTGGATAAGGCGCTCGACTCGCAATCTGAGGGTCGCGGGTTCGAATCCCCGTCCCACCAAACATGCTCGCCCTTTCAGCCGT